GCTCAGCGTTTGGCAATTTCAACACAGCACAGATGGTGAAGGGTTGCGGGCCAACCTGCAACATTGTTTTTTAGTTCCATATAGGATTTTATAGGTGCATCCAATGCAAGGTGGAATCGATGTAGTGTCAGAACTTTGCTTTGTTGTTGTTTGTTGTTGTTGCTGCTGTTGGTCAAGAATCGTTTGAAACCTGGTGGCACCTGACCAACCCAGTGACCACTGTGACTCGCCTCGGCACGACTCGGCACCAAGCAGTGTCGGATCTGATGCCTCTCCTGCAGGTCACTTGCCGGCCACGTTGTCGGTGCCATCCACACGTCGCAGTGCTGCCAAAGTCCTGCAGTGCGCAATGGACACGGACCTTGGGATGCGCGTGGCTCGTGAACATCTCGAGTTATGCTTCCAGGGCGCGGTGCATATGTTTCTTGGCAAACTCCCTGGGCGATGAAAGTCTGAAAGGCACGCGGTGTGTTTTGGTGGAAGTCCTGCTCTTAGCATTGCTTGGGCTTGCTTGGTGTCTCGCAATAGGTGCTTTTCAAAGCAACGTTGTCTAGTCAGAGGTTGCAAAATGGGCGGATTGATGTTTGGGCAGTGCTATTTTCTTGGTCAATGCCTTAGACAAGTGCTGGTTTAGGGGTTCTTTGGTTGCTGGCCTTCGCTTGGCTCATTTTCCACTACTTACTGTACGCAACCTTTTGAGACTAAACCCCGCAATATCAAAAGCAGGCATCGGTCGCCGCATCTCGACACACATCTACTCGTAGTGTCCAGACTGACCGAACTCAGAATACCAATGTATTTATGGGGGTCGCGCTAAATAATGATTCCAGGGGGTACGTCGATGGGCGGGATCATTTATGTAGAATCATTTCTCTGGAATCATTTTTTTGACAGGGGGGTTCATGGGGGGTGTCAACCCCCCCTGAGAATAATTTTCAAGTTGATGTGACTGATGTACCAGAATCATTTTCACTTGTTGCAATGTCATAATTGCATTCGCCTCAGTCTCAAGCATACAGATTTCTATTGGAGAGTCCATCAAATACAAAAAACAGTATTAAAACAGATTCTGCACCAATGCAAAAGGCGGGAACGCATATTGCTTCAATTATTTCATTTTTTTCAACGTATGCGCTTGTACCAACTGATGGCTGAGCCTCCCAAACCTATTCAGTTTTGCCATGTGGGTTCTTGCTTTGGCAAGAAAAGAAACCACCCCAATTCTGATGTCAACCCCCCCTGGAATCATTTCCACACCAGTCATTTCCATATGAAAACACATAACTCACCACATTCTTAGACACCCAGCGGGAAAACATTGGACACCGACAACAATACATAATTATACCTATAATACCTATGGAAATAGAATGACATGGTGGAATCGTGGAACAAATTGCAATTCCCAGCTCCATTGCCCTTGCCCAGATTGGGTATGGGAGTTTCCTCTAAACATCTCACCTTCCAGAGTGCAGCCCCTCCAAGATTTTACCCTTACACCCCATTCTGATGTCAACCCCCCCTGGAATCATTTCCACACACCTGTCATTTCCACATATCTCATCACATTACCATTCCAGGCACCACTACCCATGAAAGATCCCATGTCCATTTCCCAGACTGGGCATTCTTGGATATTCTTGGGGTTCCTGTAAAAAACATTAAAACACATCTAAAGATCTACCATTCTGATGTCAACCCCCCATGGAATCATTTCCACACCAGTCATTTCCATATAAAATCACATAACTCACCACATTCTTAGACACCCAGTGGGAAAACATTGGACACCGACAATAATACATAATAATACCTAAACAATCCTAAACATAATAATACCAATAATACTTTGGGTACAGAGTTCAGATGTCAGGAAATGTCAGCAGATTTCAGGAAATGATTCTGACCGTGGATGACGGTCAGAATCAATATCACCAACCCCCCTCACACCCCCCCAGAATCATTTAAAATGATTCCTGGGGGTCTTGACGTGGGCCCCCTTGAACGCAACCCCCATATTTATTTAATGTTTCTTTGTTTTTATCTTGGATCTCTGCGCGTCACTCATAGTTTTGTGTTTTCCAAGCCTTGATAGGCATGAGCAGGTGGCTTGTTTCAGATTGGTTAAAGATGGTTAACATTATATAAGTAAGAACAATCAATTAGGTAAATATTGAAGTTCGACCGGATGTCTCAATTGCTAGTCTCCTGTACCGTACCCGTGCCTAAGAAGGTAGCTATGATGCTTGTTAGTGAGTTGGCTGTGGTGAATCAAAATGACCTTACTATGGGATCCAGTGTTGGAGAGCTTTACCCAGCTACATGGACTATGTGGGTATGGTTCGGATGTCGACCCTGGAGGACCCGCTGGTTCTCCTTTACACGCTAAGAACAACCGCTCAGATCATACTTAACCACCCCCATCAAAGAGGCACGGGGTGTGCCAGTGTTTCAGCCATTCCCATACCTACCCATACCCATACCCATTTGAGTTGCCCCACCCAAGATTCCAATAGCACAATCACCGATATGGTGTTTCTAACGACCTTACATGAGCTCGAATCCTGGCGATGAAGTGGCGACCTCGATTGACAAAAGCTCACAAAATGAATATAATGTATCAAAATGCAAGGCCACCACTTGGGTGCCCCCCCATGGCTCAACTACGTCAGGCTGCATGCTGTGCTAGAAGACCAGGAGCCTGAAGCACTTTTGGCCACCATTGTATCATGGCACAGCAAAAAGGAGGGACCGGGGGCTTCAAGGTTGGGATCGCAGTGAAGGCCTGCCTGTGAAGGAATAGGAAGACTACGGAAGACTGCAAGTGTCTTTTTTTTTTCAGAATGAGCTCAGGCACTTTTTTGTCAAATTCCGGGACTCTGATTCCTTGCGCTTAGCATCCACAATCGGTAATCTAAATGTTTCTAAATCATAATTCAAATCCACATCAACATCTACTTGAACCTCCATAACTGATCATGTCTCCATCAAATTCCAAATGAACCCCATTGTTCACCACAACCAAGACGACCAGAATCCATACATGACAATGGAAAGAGGGATGAGAAGAGTGAAGAGTTCCACTTTTGGACGACATGCCAAAAATTGATCTCATGCTTTTGCCCCTTATCGCTGAAGTCGGTACCTGCAATATTTATATAGCCTGATTCATGGAGGACAAAGTTCAATCTGATGTGAAACCCTTCAGACTGTCAGTTTATGCCAAAGTCTCCATGACATCGATAATATGTACATACTGTGTGACTCAAGAATGAAAGCCGGCGGGGACCACAGATGTTCGTTGCTTTCACTGGCTCACTGGGTATGTTGCTCGTAGGCTCCCAATGTTGCATCCCAGAAGTTGTGGCTTTGGAAGAGCATCCGGCCCGGAAGGCATAAGCTCCAGGGCTGGTTGTTCAGTTCAGCAATCCTTGCGGCTTGGCGGTCCGAGGAATTGCTGGGTCAACTCTGTAGCCTCTCCACGATGGAGCTCCTCTCCCAGGATGGGCCGCGCAGCGTAGCTGTGGGTGAGTTGGAGTGTTTTTTTTTTTTATCATGTTTTAATCCATTTGTTATCTGTTTAAAGCAAAGGTTGGAGGGTTGCTACTTAGGGGTCAGTAAGGCAGTGAACACAAAAGGGAAGAGTTCAAGAAAGCACAGTGTCCCAGTTTTTGGTTCCCGCCTTAGATGCTTACCATGTTGTATCGTTAAATGTCCCTTCCGGCTGGGATGCAGTGGAGGGTCTAGATGTTGATAACTTCCCTGAAGCTCAGAAAAAGATCTTGTGCACCAAGCGGTCTCAGTAGAGTGACTGACTGACTGAAGAAAAGGAACAGCAGGTCATAGGTGGTCACAAAGATGTGGGACACTCGACACGAAGAACTGTTCAGCTAGGGCACTGTGTGCAGTTGCGGGATCGCTTGCTCTTCTTAATTGCTTTGCGGTGCCTATTGAGCGGGGTCCATTAGTTTGAGATGTTGAACATGCTTCTCATGATTTTTCCCTAGTTCTTTGGCAGCTCTACACCGTGGGGTAGTTTTAAGGCCATCGATTTATATCCAGAAGATTCCAATAAGGATCACATACGATCACTATGTTGGATTATTTTGAAGGGTAAGTCGCGCTTCCAACAGCAATCAGCCACTCGATGATGTTTCCTCCTCGTGCTCCCTGTGCCATGAACTAGATATGTACTGAATCTGACGTGAGTCATAATTTCTGAACAGTTCAACATAGGCGTGACATAGATGTCATGCCATGTCATGCCGTACTGCCACCTGGGGGATCTCTCTTCGTTGCTTTTTATCCTGGTTCTTAACATGTTTTGTGGTGGTGGGTCTTTCATTGGTTGAACTGACAGTTTGTAACCCCTGATCCTGACATTCTTTTTGTGCATACAAACAAACACCCCGCTAATGCTTGGGTGGCGCTGGATTCGTAGCACAAGCTTGTTCAGTAGGGTCTTGCTGATCCTTGAACAGAGTCGGTGCAGGTGTGTGCCTTTGTGGACCCCTGCTCATGGAAGATATTTCAACCATAATTTTCTGCATGATCTTCCCACGCGCCACGGAAGATCCGTGTACATTGTTTTGACTAGGGTGTTTACACTCCCTAGACACGGCTTCACGTGTCTTCGCCTTCGCTGTTGTTGGCTCAAAGAGTCGTAGAGCAGATATTCATGACATGAACTGAATCTCTCAGCCCCTTGCTGTGGATGCACAAAAAGCCTGAGCAATGCCTCACTGAGCCTCACAGCCAAACAATCCAGATGTCCCTTTTTACAGGAGTCCCCCACCTGGGTGCACCGCTACTTATATATGCACTGGTTTGTACTCAAATCATCATTTGAACTTGAACTGCCCATCAATGTCCTCATCGAGTCACTTCAGAATAGGGAGCTCCGTGGAACTGCCAACAGCTGCTGCAGGGGAAGGTACTGCAAAACAAGAAACATGGCAGAAGCACTTCAAAACAAAACTCTAACACGACCCCAACAGCCGCAGGTTGTGTTTAGAAGAATGCTTTTCTATTTGAGGGTCCCCAGGAGGGGCTACCCTAGCTTTTTGCCATGGTGACATGATGTCTGCCGAAGATGATGTGGAGCTGCCGCCAAATGCATTTTCACGCACAGCCCTTCAGATGGCAAAATGCCTCATGCATGGTTGATGATAGTTGGTTCCAAAGAAAATGCACAGCACTAGTGGATGGGAGAACCATCAACCCGATTCTCAGCTTCCAAGTCTTCCATTGTATAAAGGTTTGTGGACCGTTCCCACCAAGACCCTTGACCAGCCCTTGACTCATAGCAGCAACTTGGAACTTAACTGTTCTCAAACGCTGAGCAAATCGTCAGAGTTGGCTCTGGAAGTTCATACATTTTGGCTCGTGGAAGTTCGTTCATATAGAGGGTACCGGCTGCTGAGAACTCACCATGCTGGGTTGATAGTCTTTTTTTAGACAGCACTTTGCCTGTAGCTTCAAGTGGTGCCACTTCTCTTGTTAAGTTTCCCTCAAAATCTAGGAACCAAATGATTAGTGGGAGCGCTTCTTCTTTAGGGCGGCGGGGGGGAGCTTTCTTGAAGAAGCGTGAGCTATCCTGCGTTCAATATGTAGTAACGTAGTAGTGTCTCAGTAGCTAGGAGCGAACTTCTCTCTAATTTAATTGAGCAGGCGCCTACTGCCTACTCAATTAAGTAAGGAGGCAGGGCTACAAAAATCCTGGCAGTGCTCTGGTCTGGCTGAGCTCAGGAGAAGTTATCCTCGTCCTTACCCAGCCAATCGGTGGTGAAATTCTTCGTGACGAAAGCTGCCAGGTGCCGTGCTTCTCGGAACCGACCGGGTCAAGACAGGTCCAGCTGCCCCAGGTACCAATGGCACTTGCTGGTAGAGGTAAAGATGAAGAGCAGGTGATGAAGCCTGGGCTACAAGTGAATGGGCACACAAAGGCCAACATATAGATATATAATATAGCACATACATTTATAAAGGCAAGGAGCACGGCGAATCGCGAAGGAGCATATGGACCTGTAAAGACGGTATGCATGGACCATGGATATCATCCACGGGACCTTTGATTTGAGCTAGCAACAGTAGGTCCGAAATTGGTGATTCCTTGACCAAGCGAGATACCTGATGTTTTGGATACCATTTGGCCACCACCATCACCATCTGCCTGCGAAGCAGCCAAAAGTTTTTATGATTCGAATGTTCAATGTTTGACCATGGCAGGCTCTTTTCCATCAGCCCCAATCGATTTATACAGATTTACACACACACCTTGAGGGGAAGCGACCTCGTGGACAGAACAGGCGATTCGTCAGGCTAGGGTTAAAACATAACAATGCACAACATACAAATCTTGATTTTGATATCTCCTTCAACTTCTCTTCGGGAGCACAATGATTGACGTGAGATCTCGCTGTTTCGCTGGTTGCATGATTACATGGTCAGTTTCTGGCTAGCTCATCAGAGGAAGTGTGTTTGTCTCTCTCTCTCTCTCACAACGGGGGGGGTGGCGCCACGGGCAGATCCTACTTGATGCCATGGGTCGTCCACCGGGAGAGCAATGTCACAGGTAGTGGCTTTGTACCTTGGAAACTGAATGGTTTGGGGAAGGAGCAGTGGTGAGGGGCCAGCCCAACTTGGAGGTGTTTGGCTGGATGACTTGGGGACGAGAAGCCTCGGACAGCTCAAATTATGTTGTTTGTTTCTTTGAATATGATGATACAGTGGACTCCCAGTGGACAACCAAAATCTGGGCTTCAGTGCTGCCCGAGCTTGAGTTGAGGACCAAAGCTGTTGGGGGTTCAAAAGGATGAGACGGGGCTGAGCCCAAGGGTTTCTATGAGTTCTATGCTAAACAACATAAAAGGTGAGAGTTTGGGCACCTGGCGTGAGAAATCCAATACGAAGGTGGTGCGTCTCCCTTGACGCATCGTGGGAGGCGCTGCCGGGTCCTTAGGCGACCCCCCTAAACCTCAAAACCCGAAAAGTCATGACAAACAAGGAAGGTCGAAAAATCAAAAAGGCAACACATGAGAAATGTCGAACACTATAAGCATAATGAACAACAGACATTTGCATAATTATAGACAATATTATACAGTGTATATAAAATATACTTTTCATGAAGAACCGTGAGGTGTCGACTGAGGACTTTGTAATGAGGAAATATCAGCATCTTGGCGTGGTTAAGTGTGCAACCCCAGGCCATGGCCTATCTAGGCATGGCGAAACTATGATGACTGTGGCACGCCGCGGCTCTAAGGTTTGGTTGTGAGGTGAGTAATGAGTAGTGGTCGTGTAGATGTTAATTGTCAGGTGAAATTTACTTGGTTGCTGGTTTCTACTTGTAGAACTTATAACTTGGTATGAGTTAGTTATAGCCTTTTAAAACACAACTTATAACTTCTGTAACTTCTAACATCCGCTAACTTATGTTATCGAAGATATAACTAAGTTACTGTACTTATAAGTAGTTATAACTATATATGTATAACTTCCATAAGTTTTTGGGCCTCAACGACAGAACTCAAAAATATGAAATCCTGAAAACTGATTTAAGTTACCGAACTTGTCGTGTTTCGTGTTCTAGTTTGTGGAAAAAGTTTGGAATTAACAGCTTGTTGCTGTTTTCTAACATGTTCATGCGTGTCCGCCAGACGTTGCGTTACTGCGTATGTGTCTAATATCTGTGTGTGCTTTACGTCCTCTGCAACTTTTTGGGTCGCGCGTTGGCGGCGCTGTGTGCTGCCTCTGCGGTTCTAGGTTGCAAGATTTCTTGGCCCAACGGGTGTTCAAAAATATTCGGATGAGCTTTGGGTTGCAAGATTTCTGGACCTAACTGGTGCTCAAAATGTTGCGGGTGATTTTTAGGTTGCAAGATTTCTGGGCCTAACTGGCGCTCAATTTTTTGGGGGTGAGCTTTAGGTTGCAAGATTTTTGAACCTAACTGTTGCTCAAAGTTTTGCGGGCGAGCTGTAGGTTGCACGATTTCTGGACCTAACTGGTGCTCATTTTTTTTCGGGTGAGCTTTAGGTTGCAAGATTTCTGGACCTAACTGGTGCCCAAAAAATTTCGGGCGAGCTTTATGTTGCAAGATTTCTGGACCTAACTGGTGTCTTTTTCGGGTGAGCTGTAGGTTGCAAGATTTTTGAACCTACTGACCTACTGGTGCTCAAAATATTGCGGGTGAGCTTTAAGCTTTACAATTTTTGAACTTAGTTGGTGCTCATTTCTGTGTGGCGAGCTTTAGGTTGCAAGATTTCTTGAGCTAACTGGTGCTCAAAATTTTTCGGGTGCGTTTTAGGTTGCAAGATTTCTTGGCCCAACTGGTGTTCAAAAGTTTCTGGGTGAGCTTTAGGATGCAAGATTTCTGAACCTAATTGGTGCTCAAATCTTTTTCGGGTGAGCCTAGGCTGCAAGATATCTGGAGCTAACTGGTGCTCGATTTTTTCGGGTGAACTTTTAGGTTGCAAGATTTCTTGGCCCAACTGTAACTGGTGTTCAAAAGTTTCTGGGTAAGCTTTAGGATGGAAGATCTCTGAAGCTAACTTGTGCTCAAAACTTTTCGGGTGAGCTTTAGGTTGCAAGATTTCTCTGGACCTAACTGGTGCTCAATTTTTTGCTGGTGAGATTCAGGGTGCCAGATTTCTGGACCTAACTGGTGCTCATTTTTTTTCGGGTGAGCTGTAGGTTGTATCTGGCAACCTAAAAGTTCACCCGAAAAAATTGAGCACCAGTTAGGTCCAGAAATCTTGCAACCTAAAGTTCAGCCGCAAAATTTTGAGCACCACTTAGGTTCAGAAATCTTGCAACCTGAAGCTCACCCGAAAATTTTTGAGCACCAGTTAGGATCAGAAATCTTGCAACCTAAAGTTCAGTTCTTGTTGTTCGGATGTGTGACCCTAGATCCCAACGATGCATTTTAGCGAGCTAAGCACTGGACCACAGGTTGAACTTGCCACATCCCAACAACTAGGGACCTACCTGCTCCTTGTAGCGTTCTTGCTCCTAGTAGCGATGCCCTTTGTTCCTAGTAGCGTCCTTGTTCCTATTCTTGTTACTAGTAGTTTTTTCGTCAGGTTCAGGAAGACCTTCCGCCCTTCACAGCCAGCCACAGAAAAAAACATAACCCGAAGTGAAGAAGGGAGTGGCCTTCCTGACCTTTAAATTGGTTCACACAGTGACGTAGTGCTTGGATTTGGAGATGGCTGGCCTGGCACCCGACCGGCCCAACCCCGGCTCGCCCGGACTCACGAGGTCATCGAGGGACGACTTCTCATGACCAACGCGCACGTCATCGAAGATGCTACCTGGATTTCACTGGCATTCATCCGGGATTGGACATTAGGCTAGGCAGAACGGAGGACACTGCTACGTCACCGTTCCAGGTTTTGTTTGGTTGTGGAACCATGTGGAACCATTCAACAACGCGTCCATGTCCAGAAGGTAGTGTGACTCTTCAAAGCACCTGCGCACCTGCCCAAAAGATGGATTTGAGAGTGCCTTTCGCCAGGCCTCCGAAAAAGATGTCATAACATGGTGGTTCTTTGGGGATGTGGATGGACAGGAGGGAGACGGTATTCTGATGCGTTGAACGAAGGGGGTGCCCACCAAACAGCACGGGCTCTAGTGGTTTCATTTCGACGATCCTGATTATGTTGATTTACCAGTTTTCTCACAAGTCAAATGGCTACAGCCATGGCCGCTGGAGGAGTTACATGAAGATGGCTTTTATGGGTGGGCATATGGTTGACGTTCGATAAGACTGTTTGCATTGTGCGCCACTTAATGTGATGTTTTGGCCTTGGCTGTCTCAGGAGCCCCTTGTAGCGTCCTTGCTACTAGTAGTAATGCCCTTTGTTACTAGTAGCTTCTTGTTCCTAGTAGTAAGGCCAGGAGCCCCTAGTAGCGTCCTTGCTCCTTGAACCTTATTCCAAGCCTGTTCTGTGGATCCAAATGCCGTGAATATGAGGAGCCAGAGTTTATCAGAGTTTCAAGCTGTCAGTCAGTCAGCCAGTCAGTCAGTTTGACTGAGTCTTGGAAACCACTGGTCGTTTGCTTGCCAACGTCGTAGCCGGATCCACTGGATTAAGATTAAGATGACTATCGGACCTATCGGATAAGGGACAACGTTGGACATTTCACGAATTGCATGCAAGACTGACAGAGCAATTGCAGACTTAGCTCTCAAGTGGCCGCAAGCAGTGCAACATAGTTCAGCCACGGCTTAATGAGGGGTCAAGACCTTGGTTCCATGTGACCAATTTTTTGCTCTTTTAAGCGCCGTGCCATTTGTAGCAATTCAACATTGAGCTGCCCACTCCACAATCCAAAACACACACATATAACATATATATATATACACATTTGTATATGTATATATGTATCCAACTGTCGACACAACAGAGTACACAAAAGCAAAACACAATGTTGTTCTCACCTTATCCGCAGCAATTTGTGTCAACAGCAGCTTTCCTTTAGTATTCATGCATTCCCACAATATATCATGAAATTATATATATATGTTATTGATCTTGGCGAGATAGGTTTCCCACAATATATCATGATATATACTTTTTTGGTTATTGACATAGACACAGAAATGAGTCCCTTGTACAGAACAATGTCATGAGAAGGTTAATTTTCGATGTGTATTGACATGTATTTGTTGGGTCTGTCCCATTGCCTGAAACAGTTGTTAAAAGGTCTTATATGTAGCCATCATCATTGTTACTTGTAATGGGAGATACCTGGCATGATGCTTGGCATCCCCCTCGGGAAAGCTTTGGTCCCCATGGTCGGCTCTCTCAGGCCATGGTCGTAGAGGTTAAGAAACACGACTTGCCCAAGAAGTTTCGTGCCCGTGTGGTTTGTATTGGCCACTTCGCCTGCAAGTTTTGACGACCTGTAAGACATTTTCGGCTCGATGTTTGACTTGTTTGGATCCGACTATTACTTCATTTATTGTGGAGAGGGCTGTGAGCATGCCAGTGTGTCTTAAAAGAATCAGAAGGTAATCAGTCATACATCAACTTTGCCCATTGTAACATGATTTCCAGGGCCTTCCAGTTGGAGAAGCCTTTTATTTCCAAACCTGAGAGAACTCGCCAATTGCAGGGAATCTCTACTTCTCCAAAGAGGACACAGGCCTTCACTCCAAATATGTCTCGACAATTTCTGTGCGCAGTTCCCAGGTCGCCGTCAGGTGGCAGGTCTGCCACAGAAGGTTGACATAGAAGGTGTGCCCTCCAACAAACATGAACATGAATAATGGCCGGAAGACTGCTTTCCTCTCCAAACACTTTCCGCTTCCACGTGGACAGAGGTTGCTGCACTACGGGTGAATGTTCCCATTCCTAGCAAGGAGATATCATACAAAAAATATATCTATTTCTTGAGCCACGGCAAAGGCAAGGGCACGTTTGCGGTCCTTGCATGCAGCGAGGATGCATTTTACAGGTACCCCACTTACATTCAGAGTCGTCCAGGAGAATTTCCAAACTGGATGGCAAGAACATTGTGGCATCGGATATATCCATGTAGATAACCATGTGGCAGGGCCTGGCAGGGACTTCCTTTTCGCCGAGATGTGAGAATGTATTGTGGCCTCCGAAAATATTGATGCCCCAGGAATGGTCAGCCAATTCCAGCTTTGGTGAGTCCAGGTTTTGTCGAAACCCAGCGGTTCTGGCAACTATTTCGACCCTGCGTGCCTGGGAGGGAGTCAGGATGTAAATTCTCAGATTTAATTGGTAATGCTTAGACCTTCAAATGGTGAATCTGCTCCAAATTCAAGCTTTTGAACTGTGCATGGTTTGATCCAGTCAGACTTTGTTGGGAGGAACCTCACAAGTTTCAACTGTTTCTTTAAAAACCTTTTGCTTCTCCAAGCTGTTTTTGCTGCAAAAGGATATGGTTAACCTCCGAAGATCTTCAGGTTTGACGGGGACCACCCGGGCTGAACGGCTAAGGTCATGATGTGGATTTGGCTTTGGTAGAGGTGGATGATGAACGATCCTCGGCTGCCTCAACTGGTATCTGGTGGCGCTGGCGGCTAATGGGGTGGTTGGCGGGTGGCTGATGGCAACTCTGTGAGTGGTTTATGACCATTTCGGGTGTTCATCATTGTGTTTCTTTCTACTAGACTCACTAGACGAGACATTCTCAGAATGAGGTGATCTGCAACCAACCGGTTCTATCAAGGTTTGTTTTAACTCCTCCAACCATCATATATCTGATCTATAGGACAAATCTAGGTTCCTCTCCCACTGGATTGAAACCTCTTGTTTTGGGATCTTAGCAGTGGCGGCAATGGAAGGTCTCTCTGCAGAAAGATATCAAGCCAATGTCATTCAATGTCATGTTCCATTGCTCTCAAGTAGATAGGGAGCAGCACGGGCCACCTGTGAACCTTCGATGCTTTGGGTGAACAGTGGGAACAAGAGGCTCCAAGCTCTTCATGTCTCATCTTTGCTCCAACGACTTGGCGATGACAATGCTGTGAAACCGACGATGGTCAGTAATTAGCTGATGATGATTATGTGATAACCTGTGTTTTGTTTCAGCATTGGTCAGGAAGCAACAGTAACATTCTGGTGAAGTATGAAATAAGGGTTGCAAAGGGGAACATACATGTTACAACGAGTTTCAACAAGGAATACTGGATTCAGGTCTTGTCCATGAACTGCATTTTTGGGGAGGGCTTGCAAACCCCAGACATGTATAGACATGTGGCTGGGGTGTATGGTTGGTTGCTCAGACAGGTTTTTTCAGGTTTCCAAGTTTCGCTAGTATGTAGATCTGTCCAGTGAATGGAAAGAATCGCATCATCCAACCAAGCTCTATCAACCAACCCCATCTGAAAATCATTGACCTATCTCGCACCTCTTTGAGGTTGGAGCTGTGCAAGACATCATAAGACATCCGTTCAGGTCACACCGAAGACATCCAAGGATTTTGGTGTCATCCAAATCCCCTGCTGCCGGTGTCCTTCAGTGACCGCCACGCCTTTGCCGAGCTCTATAGCGAGGTCAGAGCGGCGCCTTGGTCCAAGTGCATGGCGTTCGGCGTTGGAATAGTGAAATTGGGAGACCCACAGAGTTTTTACCTTTTCTATGTTCTTTGTCTGGAATAGCCATGGCCTCCACCTACTAGTGATGGCCTCAACCTACCGGCTGTTTTGTGTGTGGGGTGCTTTAGATGATATCATTAAAGGCTTGTCTATTTTCCAGGTCAATAGGTCCAAGCCAACAGACTACCCTTGCCGACATACTGATTCTGAGAAGCTCGCGCGGTGCATAGAATCAATCCAGGTTCGTAGAAGGACCAGAGCGTGTTTCGCAAAAGTTTGCCTTAAAGCCCTGCAACCCATCATGCTGTGTGTGTGCGTATGGGAGCGAGGCTAGCTATGTGTCGATTTTGTGCAATCTATCGCATGCATGCATGATGAGAGCAATGTGGCATGGGCGAGGACCTGTAAATTCGCCCATGGATGGATATAATATAATGCCGTGTGTTTCAGTTGAAGAAGAGCAACAAGTTTTGACCGTCCCTCATATACGTCCTGCTTTCTCAACCAGTGCGCCATACTGCACCAGTCTTGGTCGTTTTTCACTTCCTTTGCAGCTAGTGATGCGCGGAACGGGTTTGCAGACTTTGGGTCTCAGATTCTGAAGCCACGGGTTGCCTATTCTGCGGGTCTCCTTGTCCGATCCCCTGTAGAATGGACGCCATGTGTTGCATGTCAGCGGAGATGTTTTCTGGAGCCAATAAAGATCTACAACCCCGTGTTTCGATGCTTTAAGATGATGTTTTTTGCTCACTCATCAGCTGCCTCAAAGTTTGGTATGTATCCAAAGGCGCCCTGGATTTGAGCGGGGCGCAAAAAGGTCTTGTGGTTGAAGCGAAGCTGCAAGCTACCAGTGCAAACCCATCATATTGTCAGATTGGGACGTGTTCAACTTGAAGTGAAATTGTTAAAGGTTGACTGGATTGTACACCGCCGACCTTACGCTAGATTCACGCCCCACAGCACAGACTCACAATATTCAACAGTTCCACATATTAGCTACTTAAGGACTATGTGTTTTTATAGAACAGTTACAGTCTAGAGTCTATATTATATATATATAGTTATAGTTGTTTGTTCATTCAAAACACTAAGATGCCCATGACTCCATGACTTCGGAATAGGTAACGTTGGGCTGCATACAATGGACGTTCACAGCTTCGGCCGCCCATGCAAGGTTGGATTTCCCACAGGCGGCAGCACCATTTGTGTCAGCAAAGGCACAGATCCGGTTTCTTCATGTTTCTTCCAGACGCACCTTTTTGACACAAAAAACGGCAGGTGTCAACTTGAACGACCCAATTCCCTGAGGTCTTTCGGAAAGGGTTTCCGTTTCCGTCTTCGGGTTGCGAAGGTGTGGTCTCACGGGTGGATGCACAGATCTATGTGCATTCCAGATCCAAAGGAGTGGCTCAGGATACCCTGATGCTTGGTGCAACGATGTGGAGAGCGGGTGCGGAGTGGGTGGGCATTGTTCTATGCCATAACAGGTTTTGGAGGGTTTAAGTCAAAGTAGTATCAGGACCCACTTGAAACTGGCGAGAAAGGTGAATCCACAGTTGGATCAATCAGCAGTTCATAAACCAATCACTAGGACCAATGTCAGCCCTCACTTTGGACATCAAAGACACTTGACCCAGTTGAAACTTCCACTTGCAAGAAGGCTTTGATGAGGTCTCGACGGAACAAATCCTATACAACTTGGGAGGGTGAAATCCACGGTATTTAATCAGGTCATTTTTCTTCCGTCAGAAGGACAGTAGACACAGGAGCATCTATGAAAGCAATGAGAAAACAGCTGCAAAATGCCTCAGGAACAGCCCAGGGCGTTTGCCCATCATCCAAATCGATGCGGCCATCAATCCGGGCAACTCTGGTGGGCCTACCTTTGATATCACGAACAATGTGACGCCTGGTGTGGCGATGGGTGAAAAGGAAGACAAGGGTTGCTGATTCCAGTTTTTTCCTGTCGCAGAATTGAGGATCCATGATCCAGTTTTGCCATAGAGGCAGGAGATGATGGGGCATGTCAAGAATGACATGCCAACCAGGTGTATGGGTCACGTTTCCGGCTCACATTCTGATCTATGTTTATCCAGTCGGAGGTGCAAGAGGATGTTCCTCTATACTGTTCAAATCCACCAGGTGCATCATCCCAAGCCCCTCCCTACCTCAGGTTGATCTCAAAGAAAGGTTGGGCCCAGCTTTTGTTTGTTGTGCCAAGACAAAAGGAAAAGCCCGAAATATGAAACATATCAAGAACGTGAAGAATAACAGTCTAGAGTTCTAAACAGAACCAACAACATATCTATATTATATACACATAAATCGCATAAATATATAAATTTACTATATATAGATTATATATTTATCTATGTTTTATATGCTCATTCTATCTTTTCGCTTAGAGGCTCTTGTTTTCGCAGACCATCGCTAACCCCTCTTTTCTGCGACCGCTTCTTTGAATCCAAAACTCAAAAGATGCATGCCACTCCCTCCGATCAGTGCCGGCCGGGCAACTGGACGAGGGGAAGGGGAAAGGCACCTCAAAGAACACCAACACAGAAATTCTGTGTTGAAATCAATGGTGTTGGTTTTGAATTCTGTGCTTCACTTTGAAACTCGGTGTTGAAACACAATTGGTATTGGTTTTGAACTGACTGTTGAAACGAATGTCTTCTGGTCATTTGAGGCAATTTTTTTAAAGATATATAGTCACACTCCTCGGTCTCAACAAAACCGGCGCTTGCTCTCGTGTCACCAGCTCTACGATGCTCCGCTGAAGCCCAAGGATTGGTGTGGCCTCCTCAGGCCTACCCAAGGCGCAGAATGTGGGGTACATCATTCCAACCAAGGCCGGGATTTGACAGCAGATACATGCGCGATCTCCACCGCGAATACACATGCAACTAGAAATGGAGAGGTGATCTTCAGCAGATAGAGGATCAGCCACAGATGCATCAGTTGTCCTCCCAACAATCTCCTGATCCTGCGGATGAAGTCTCCATGAGTCAGTAGGGGTTGTCCAGACGTTGATCGCAGAATACGGATTGTAACGAGCTCTAGCGTGCTTTTCAATCGAAACATATCATGCGCAATAAGAGTTTGAGGCTATGTTTATCATTACATTGCATCAGAATATGTAAATTGAAGCTAACTATTTGGTTGAATAATGTTTTGACTGAGACAGAGCTAACATCGTCAACCCGCCGTTGCAGATTGCCATGGTTTTCCTGAATGAATATTTCAGCAGTGGTACTTGGAGTGGAATCTGTGAGACTGGGCTCGAGACCATGCCACTGGAGAATGACGCTTGGGACCAGATGTTGAACCTTTGCTATCACCCAAAAAGCATTCTTGATTCCGGAAGTACCACGACTCAAATTCCTGTTGTGTGTCGCGTTATTCCAAGTTGGATTGAGTCAAGCTTCTGTCAGGTTGCAAGCATCTGTTTGATTGACAACCTTCATCTCAAGTCCTTCTTGTTACCCTCCCAGCTCCGTCCTTTCTGTTGATCTGCTTCGATGCATGTCGTATGCGTGCGTTCTCTCATCTTCATTGATTTGCTCTTTTTGTCTCCTTGCTCTCTCCGTGAACATTCAATGCAAGCTTCATTTCAGTTTTGCGATTATTGCTGTGGATGTGTGATGGTTGTCACCACCAGGTAGCTTGTTCATAGCCAAAGGCCCTACAGTATGACTGAATCTCACTACTGTTCCAGCTTCAGCCAGTGAATGTCGCTGACCGAACTAGCCTTCGTTTCCAGGACAAGGGCTAGGTAAGGGAACAAAACTATTGGCAAAAAGATTTGTTTTCACTTGTCATTATGAGTCTGCCAGGGGGGCATTGTGTGACTGATCCTGCCGTTTGTGCGATCTGTGCAAAAGTGTCTCTCACTGAATTGGCCATGATGTTTTGCCCATGAATTATGTCCAAATGAGCCACATGTATGTATGGCGTATGCTACAAGTATCAACATCCAAGGCCATTGACTAGGTGAGCCGATAGCTATGGGTCAAAACCATGGGACAGAATCTGGTTAACCCAGAAAATTAACAGAATGGACAAATGACAGGGAATATCGGAATATCACCACTGGTTGTTGGGCTTTGACTATCACGGGCGCACGGCGAAGGTTTCTTCCTTGTCGCGGAAGGCTTGGACTCTTCAATCCAGCCTGGCTCCTGCGTATCCTCCATGTGTACAACTGTCCAACATTGTCCAACAGAGTACTCCGCACTCCCAAATTTGATCAGGCTTCAACATGATATACTATATAATAGGTAATTAGTTATATAGGTCCTTTCAAAAATTGATGGTTTGATCGGTATATAATGTGCATCTCTCTGGTTTCAGTGTCCTTAGTGCCTTGTGATGCGAAGATACTCTGATTGGAAGGCCATACAGGGGCCATGCAGAATTGTTGACGATGTTTGCTCTCTCTCTCTCTCTCTGTATAAGACATCACCCAGGATACAACGGACATAACAACCAGCAACTGGTGCCTCACAGGATGTGGTGGGTAAGGGAGTAGTTAGTTAAAGAAGAGACACCACCGAGCCCCAGGAAGGACACGTCACATGCCAGCTTGTCAGCTCGCTCTGCTGAGGACGCCATGCGGGAATACCTCCATATGGGCCAGCGGACAGGCAGGAGAAGAACGCAAGGATGCTCGACCACTCCTCTCCGCAGAATCCTCCCCTGTGTGAATGACTGAGTGTATGCAAAACCTGCAATTCCTTTGCATGTTCCTGAAGTCCCGGTAAGCCAATCACAGGGTATATATGCCAGAATATTCCTCAACTTCGGGCCTATATTATTGTCTGAGCCTTTATGCTACTAGTTGCAATGCAAACATGATTTGCTGTTGTCAGTTGCAAAGATCTGGAGGGTTCCATACGAAGCGGGAGTTGCCCAGTCATTGAGGCTTACGATTTCTTCGTAGATCTTCGTAGCAAAGTTGGACTCAACTAATTCAACTAGTAACTAGGAAATAGGAGCAGATTGTTTTTATTTGTCCAATCAACCGTCGAAAGATAGATTCGCCAAAAGTGGCAGCATTGTGCCAGCCTTTCTCAGGTTATTTGGCCCCAGAGTTTGAGGTCCACCACAGTGGTCTGACCATTTTTCAACCCTCACCACGCACCTTACCGCCGATCACCACACTCCGCAGGGGTGCGCGTGGTGTCGGTTGCTCCTTTGGGTGCTGCGCAGGGAAAGCTCCAACCAGGCGCGACAGCGAAGGTGGAGTCCTGACGAGACCTTCAGTGGATGGCACGGTGGCACGATGGCCAAAGACCCATTTTGGGGTTTGAGACTTTTGAGATCCCTTCGATAGTCCTGGTAGAAGGAAGTTTGCAACCAATCTCTGAATCCGGTCCCCCAAACCTTGTGAAAGCAGAAAGTTTCACTTCTGCACCCTACAAGTTCGGATTCTGCCCGAACTTTGTAGCCTAGCTGTCCTGCCCACCACATGCTTATTGGTAACCAGTGCATTCCTGTCCAATGGATCCGTTCTCCATCATTTTCCGCCATTGGCCAGTGGTCCCAAACTCAGACCTGAAGGCACGAGTATTACTAGGAACAAGAGGACGCTACTAGGGGCTCCTGGCCGTACTACTAGGAGCAAGATCCATTGGACGTCTGTCCCTGCCGGCCCACAGGTGATATCTTAGTCGAGGTGGATGGTCTCCACGTGAGCAACGAGCACACAGCGCCCTAGCCGTGGTTTACACCGTTGGTTCGCAGATGGTTTTCCATGGCAGCGGGTTTTGTGGAAAGCTTTGGGATCCACTGGTTGCTCCTGAGGTCTTGTTGTCCAGGCTGGGTTGTCTCTTAGGCCCTTTGGATGGGTTGTTGGAAGCGCAGAAACAAACTTCGCAACCACCGAAGAAATCAAAGGATCAACCCAGATTGCGGTCAAGGGCTTGATGGTGGAGAAAGCTGCAGAAAAAGGAAAGAACAATTGCATATTGTGAGTTTCCACCGTTTTGCGGCCCAATGATATAGCGAGTGCATGGGAGGGCTAGGCTATGTATTTGTTTGCTTCTGTGGCTTCTATGGCCTTTGGCTTTCGTAGGTTCTGTGGCTTTTGCTTTTGGTTGCCTTTGGCTTTGTTCGTTTCTGTTCAAGACTCCAGAAAGAGCTATATACCTTCAAAAGCAAGGAGGAAGCCATGATACATTTGTACACTTGTGCATACACATACATTACATACAGTCATACAGGTCATCCATCCTTAAAACACTAAGATCTCCCAAGTGGAAGTTTGTGTTGTATCGAAGAGAGGAACTGGACTTCCTGTTGGACAACTCATCATGTCAGAGTTCTTCCTGACCAGGCTTCAGGGGGGGAATTTGAATACTTCAAGCAGCAGTTACCCCGGACCTCCCAGAGGCTTCTGTTTGTTCAAAAAACCTCGGTGCGTTTGGTCGACAAGGTGCCGGTGGAGCTGGGCGAGCAGAAGGTGGATCTGGACTATGGTGTTCTCATCAGTCAGAAGCAGCGCCTGGGCAGTGTTATAGGCCACAGGCATCTTCGCTGTGCGCGAACTCGCTGCGTCCCTGGAAACCCGGCGAGCTTAATCCCCAAGAAGCATCCCCCCTGAATAGTCAGAAGGAAACCAGACGGTGTAGGACACCGGAAGGGCCAGAGACTCAGAGACACCTGAAAAGTTTCCAACATCTTCTAACATTTCACTCCGGTGACGGACATGCGCAAGAACCCACACGACCCTTTCTTGGAAGATGATGTTCCGGCCACATGACGGTTCTACAGTAATTACTTTTCAATCTTTTCATTGGACTTGGACAGGTACTCGGTTTCAGGATGTTTCAGGACCTTTCCGGTGTTTGAGAGAATCTTGACCGTTTCCAAACTCTAAGGCTCCCTTTTGTAGAAAAAACTCGCCCAATCGACCCTCTCAACTGGAACCAAAGTGTCAATTGACCTGTGTCGCCCTGGTGAGATATGATCCAATGCGTGCTGACGATAGTCACCAGTTTGGCTTGGCAAGGCTCTACGATTGGCAATGATGGGCCATGATTGCGCAATTTTTGATTTTGTGTTTTCAGGTGTTTTTTTTTCTCCAAGAAGACTGAAGGCGCTTGCTTCCTTAGGATGCGGGCGCATTCTGCATCCCCGTAAAGGAATACTCGATAGAAGACTCCTTGTGTACCAGCGCGGCCGGGCGGTTTTTTGTCAGCTCGTAGCTGTGTTGACATGACTTCGCTTGAGATGCCCTCTTTTGTCGGATGCTTTGCATTATGCTTTCATGTTCTGTATTAGCTCCTTGCGTGACAAGCAACAAAGTTCAGGAAGGGTGAGCTCACGAAAGTGAAGGTGCTTAGAGATGGGAAGGAGCTTGAGCAGGAGGTGGGGGGGTGCAGACAAATTATCCGTTATCCAGCTTGGTTGCAGAAAGTTACAGTATATGGGATAGGTTTTGCAGCCCAGCATTTTGTAGCATTGCAACTGATTGATGTTTTTCAGGAGATGTGGTGGCCACCCAACCTATATAGGACCCTGATGGACCCTGGGACCTACATGCCTCCCACTCCGAATGTTTTTGTTGTGAGAAGATGGGCAGAGGGGATGCTGAGGCTGTTAAACACAAGCTTGGAGCTCTAGACTCCAGACCAATGAGAAGTCTGGCTCCGTGCAACAGGCATCCCACAGTAATTTTCTGGCAAGATATGCATGGGACTCTATATAGTGGCCATTTTCTATCATCGTCGTTCAGAATTCGGATTTGCGGGGGATTTTTCTCGGCGCTCTCATGGGTACGTGGGACACTCAGACAGGAGGCCCACATCATTCCAGGTGCACCAAAGCACCCGATGCATGACGGTCCATTGGAATCGCTGGTCCTTTCCATGTCTTTTCCCTTTCATGCAAAGCCACCAGCAAAGAACAGTTGGCGCATGCTAAAACGTCCTTTGGATCCAACAAATACAGGACCGAAGGACCCACGGACGAAACCCATGTCTTGCACTCGCGGTTTCCATGTCCATCCCGCGCCAGATCACCTTCGCACCCATCCCGCCTTTGGCACGTCGCTTTGACCGCTACGATAGCGCTCCCAGGCCATTTTCGAGTGTCAAGGGTTGTGCATACCCTGAGGTTCGGATGGTTGATGGTCAGGGTATCATCGATTTGAAGGATCATTTGATTTGAGGGATTTCGGAGGGCAACAGCAGGAAAGGGGCAATTGGCAAGGGCTGTTTTCCACAGTCCAGATTTTGATTTGAGGGAAGTGATCTGATAGGAGCTTAATGCTGTTTCTTCTTTGGCAGACTTGTCACACCCCCACTGGCAAAGTTCACTCGTTTTCATCCAGCGGTTTCGATAGTACGCAGTTCATTTGGTTCTACGTCAGGATCCATCAGAATTTGATCCGAAAGATGCCATGAAGCAAAGCGCTCTATGACGCGCGAATGGAAAACATATGGCGGAAGGATGCGTTTGTCATCCAAGCATGTCCATGCCCATAAGCGCATTCGTTGATTGCTTGAGCTTCCAGAATGCATTTTCCGGCGTGTGTGTAATTTCTGGCGCGTGTTTTGCTTGACTCTGTGCAGGAACTGAAGCAGGGCATTTTGCCAGTTTTTTGCCAAGGAACAAGTTGTGGACGATTTTGGGACATCCTGGTTGACACGGGGTCATGCTGATTCATATGAGGATCTTTGGATTTCCTGTGTTTGTTCTACGGCACACGGCTCGCTGTGTCCACAACTCCTCCACTGCTTGTCGGTGAGCAGTTTGCGTCTAGAATTGCTGTTCATCTACATGTTTTACGTATTTGCTTGAAGGCCCAAACACTGACTGATGGTGAACGAAGAACATCCCAGTTGCGTTGAGCCCATGTGTTCCAGTTGGAACATTGACAATTTCGGAGTGTTTTGCACCGGTCCAGGTATTTACTGGTGGGCGGCCTGGTCTTCTCGGTCATGTCCTTGCCGCTCTTCAACGAGTTCTGCGAGCTCCGAAGGGTAGCCAGGCGAACAGGTGTGAATTGGGACGGAAGAAACCGCTCGGCGAAATGTGCCCGTCTACGGTGGATGTGGCGCTTGGTTCTTTCTTCAGTCGACAGCTCGGTCACAGTCTGTCAAAGTCGTAGGGTTTTGTCTTTGAGGGACATGCAGATGCATGTTTGACTAATTAATGCACCGAGCGAGTTCACTCACAATGTTCAGGACCCTTATAATGGCGTGAGTGTTCAACAGACATTTCCTAACAAAACCACCAAGTTAAGCAACACTCAAATTCAGAACATTTGAATTGGCAACATGTTTGCTGGGCATTGCCACAGCTTTAGATGTTGGCCTCACGCTTTGGTCATTGAAAGATTCGTTCATACAGGGCCTTCAAATGTAGTTTTCACCCAGGGATTGTTCCACTTGGATCCACTTGGGATTAGCTCATCTATTTGCATATCTGGTAGGAGCAAGGACGCTACTAGGGGCTCCTGGCCGTACTACTAGGAACAAGAAGCTATTGGGGCTCCTGGCATCGCTACTAGGAGCAAGGACGCTACATGCTCCTGGATGGGTGCCATGATTTCTCCATGTTTTTTTGTGCTGCCGGCCCCGTGCCAACCCAGGAAGACAGACGCCTCAATGTGACTACGACGAGCCTCAGCTATGTGTCTCCCTTACTAAAGCATCCACATACCTCATGAGAAGGTGGGCATGAGGTGGTGACTAGGGGAATCCCTTGGAATCCCTACCCTTGGAGGCTGCTGGATATATACTGATCTATAATTGATATATAATGATCTATATATTCTATATACAATGATATTATGGCTTCAACTTATCGATTGATCTGAGCTTTCCAATCTGATCGCAGAGCCTTTCTGGACCCCTGAGAGAAATCCAGATCCTTCATCCCCGAGGCCCTTCGGCGCATCGCATGACTAAATTGATCCCTTTCGTAATGTGAAGGAGTTTTGCGGAAGGGTTTCTGCCCCAGTTTGAAGGGACCTTAAATGCCCTCCAAGGTGCTTACTGGTAGTTTAAGCTGGGAGGCTTCAGAGCCACTTGGAAACCCATGAAGTGTGAATTAGTTTATGGAATGTAAAAAGCTGACCTCACCAAAGATCATAGACCCGGTAGGGTCAGTGCATGACGCCGTAACACTGAGGTGGGAGGGTATGTGTGCAGACGCTGGTGAATCCACAAAAGATTCTACCAAGCAGCTAAAACCACCGACAATCAGGACTTGGTATCCAATGTCCAATCCACAATTATAATTCCTAGTTGAACCGATTACTAACTTTGAAGGCTTTTAATTGATGTGTTCTATCGGTGAACTGACAATTTAAGTGATTCGCGGAAAAGGCCAGCTGTTCCTCCAACCACGATTTTGCTCACTGCACATGATTTTGTCGTGAGCATGAGCGTAGTGATTGCATAAAGTTTGTTCATATCTTTTCCCCTACTCACTTCACCAATCAGGGAGCGCCGAAAGACGGCTTATTGTGTGTGTGTGTGTCAACTCCTGCCTCCAAGGATTTCGACCACACTAAGGCATACTATTTTAACTCAATTCACCCTAATTCACCTTACGGCCATGCACTAAGCTGTACAGTGCAGGGGGGGCAATGAACACTTTGGAAGGCATTGCCCAACGAAGACCTTTCCATTGTGTTGTGAAATGACTTCACTGGGAAGTCACAACTGATAGAGCTCTTGCGAGCATGGATCTAAGTGTGTGCGTGCGCGCTATTTTGACAATGACAAGAAACCGGGAATGATGGGAATGTTCATGCTGTTCTACCGGGGCAGTTGGTGCATGTCCACCAATCTCTTGGGCATCAAGGAAGACAACCACCACGCTTTGCCTCTCTCTCTCTCTCTCTGTGATTCATTCCAGCAGCAGTTGGGTTTCCGCAGTGAAAGGAACCAAGCCAAAATGTTGCACGCATTGCTGAGGACTTACTTTGCGGCTGTGAAGAAATGGAAAGACAGGACCAGCTAACAGATGCAAAGAAGGGGTGTGCTCGGTGGGCCCGGGTTGTTTTCCCTGGGAGTTTGTTTTCCCTGGGAGTCCGGGAGTTCCCTTTTTTTGAGCACTTGCTAACTTACATGGCCCTTGGCTGTGGACTGGAAACCCATGTAGATGAACTAGCATGCTTGCCAAGAAGGTCGGCTTGTTGGTGACCTGTTCTTTGTCCAAACTGTTCTTGAAACAATGCACAACACCAGGATGAATCCGTTTCTTGTATCTTTGCCATCGCTTCTTATCCATGCTAAAGTCGTTCTGCGGCTGTCGATGTAGAGACAGGCAGGGGGTGATGCCATCTCCAGGCCAGAGCAGGAAGTAATCATTCTCCTTCGAACCTTGTCACCTGGCTGAGACGAGGCTGATGATGTTCATCCAAAACGATTGGGCTAAGGAGATGGGGCCGGGGGTCATGGCATGTCCATGACACTTCGACTTTGGGGATGTTCTGAGCTTGAGGATGCCAGCTGCATCTCTTCAGCAGGGATTGTTTGGTTCTTTTCGCTAGCAAGTGGACCATCTCCAAATAGCATCTTCTTACGGGGAAAGATGAGAAAGACACGATGTATGCAATTCCTTGGGAACCTCGTTTGAATCCGGGTATGCCTCCTCAAGGCACAAATATACTGGGAACATCTTGACAGCTAGATTAAAACCACGGAGGTGAGGTTTGGAACATTCATCCTGCCTCTACCCGTTTCCGACTTTTTGTCAGGCGTGGAGTGTTGCCGTAAGATACATTATAGACCCTGAATTCAGGCAAATTTCATCTCCCAAGCCTCCCACGCCCTCAGCGCCGTACTCGTACATCTACAATAGAAACAAATGGATTTGAGCAGAGTGCGACTGTTGATTACCTGAAGAAAAAAAACACTATAAGCAAATCCTTATATTAAACAGCCTAAGTCCGAAGTCCATGAGCCTCCCTTCTGACAATCTTCAACTGCCACGGCAACAGCTTGTGTGTTCCTAGGCCTTCCCGTGCTTGCTAACCCATCCAAAGAAACCCATCCATGCAATCCTAAGAAATCCCAAGTTTGGGCACCCACCCAGTGCTAAACATTTTACACAATAGCCTCCAATCTAATAGCTTCTTGTTCCTAGAAGTAAGGCCAGGAGCCCCTAGTAGCATCCTTGCTCCTAGTAGCGATGCCAGGAGCCCCTAGTAGCTTCTTGTTACTAATCCTAAGAAATCCTAAGCAATCCTAAATGTTTCTCCGGGCAAAGATGCTGGAAAATCTAATGGCCTCAACTTGCCCCGAAGAGTCATCCTTTGAACCACCACACTCACCACTTTCAAGGCAGCTTTGCTCGAAAAAGCCTCGCGCCCAGGAAGCATCCGGTCAACTTGGGTTACAATTTCTGCTGCACGCGTCCCTTGTCAGTGCGCTTGCACGTGATTCCCGTCCAAGAGTACAGTGTGCTAAATTGCACACAGTCAAAGAATGTCAAAGATTTTCCACTTGTTTTCCCTTTGATTCATTGGAGTACCTTTTGGGGTGCACCTACCAAAAAAAAGGTCAGCAAAGTGCAAGTTTTAGGGGACAGGATGTTCTGTACATAAACCATCATAAACCAATGCAGGTCACCAGAAGCAAGACTTCAAGACAGCATGTCATTGTGTTTTAGGGCACATTTCACTTATGGCCAAGACTTCCTGTTGTGCTTCCAACAGTGTGAAGCGGTTGGTTGAATCGGAAGATTCAAGTGAGACCACGACACACAGCTGGCGCCGAGCGGGGCCTCCGAGAGATCCGAGGCATTCTGAGTCGCTTCAATGGAAAGGCCATGGAATCGTTGGCCCAGTACCCTCGATGAATTTGATGGCTCTTTGGGTCAACAGGGGTAGGACGGAGGACCATGGAGGACCAAGTGACCCTCATGTTCAACCCTCATTGTCTGACAGTTTGTGGGGAAGATATCGGTGAAGGGCCACTGAATGCCTTTAAGGATCAACAAGCACAGACCCACCAAGAAGCAAGGGTGAAGATTAAGAGAAGAGAAGGTAAGGGCCCCGTTCATAAGGCATCCTTTAAAGGGCAAACACCGGTTTCTATGTTCCTTTGACCCGTTCTTTTTGAATCCTTTCAAAAGAACCATCAATTTCGAGCTTGGAGCCATGTGCACATCATACTTTCCATAATAACTTTTCCCATCACTTTCCCACACGCCCCAGCTGGGAAGCAGAGGAACATTTGTTCAAAGCCCAGGAGAGCAATCCCTTCCTCCCAATCCTTTTTCCTATCAAACAGATATCAACTAACTAAGAGCCAGACACAAACGGGTCCATCCATTTTGATATCAAACTTTATCGATAGACGAGGTGGGAATTGCATGAGTAGAGGTCGGGTGTGTTTTGGGAAGAACCAGTTTATCTTCATGCAATAACGGCGGGCTCATCCCCGCTCCTTTCATCTCAGTATGCGTTGAATGGATTCATTCATGATTTGGGTGGTAAGGGTAGAAAAGCTGGCGTGCTGAATCTTCTCACAAAGTTAAGTTTGAGGAAACATTTTATATGCACGATTACAGCGGCCGAATATACATATATATATATATAATTATATATATATATTTATGTGATTACATGAATGGTTGGTGAGCCAGGATGCAATTTTATTTCTTGTGTTCTTACACATGAAAAACTTTAATTTGTAATTATACAAGGCCCTAGGCCTTTATGTTTCTATGTCCCTCAGCTGTAAAGTCCTACCAGTCTCTGCTAGACCTTCACAGATCCCCAGCACCTGCTCATGGTCTCCCTTGAGCCTTTTGTGGCGCCTGTCCAATCTTCATGACGGCTTCTGGCGGGCGCAAAGTGTGACCTCAAAGCTGACCAGTATTCCTACAATGCTTCTTTCCACTACAACAAACAAACCGCATCGCTATGGTATCATTGAATAAACGCTGTGACAATATTCTCTACGTAGACGTACACTGTTGGGCCGAGTTCGGCCAACCTTGCCGAGCAAGAAGCAACTGCCAAGCAGGACCATGTACCACGTCAATGAGCATGTTTCTCTCCATATTCATTATAGATTTCATCATAATGTTGCTCCAATTTGCTCCATTCAGCATTTTGCTCCCTCCTGCTCTTTCCTGTTCCAGTCCACCAGACCTTTGTGTGGCTTAGAACCTTTGTGAGGCTGGCGGAGGAGGTCTCCAAGGCTTTGGACACTCCGGAAGACTTCCTCCGCTTTGGCTTTGAGGATGATCCAGAGGAGTTCGACAGCATGGCCCCGCATCCGCAGCTGGCGCAGCCGGGGGAGAAGCAACGGACCAATGGGACGGCTGAGTTCTTTATGCACGTATACTGTGTAACAGGAAAGTAGAATCCCTGTTTGTGGAGTAGTCTTTGGAGCTGCCATTGTCCATTTCCGCGTTCGTGATTGGGAGTGTAGTTTTCTATTGTACTCACTACATAGTTTGTCATTGCACTTCAATGAGTATACATACGGTAATTTGGATGAATTTAAAGTTAATCCTTCATCATTTTTCCACCCAACCACAATTCGGAAAGCACATACAGAACCACCACATGTTACTGTAGCCGTTGTGGGAATTATGTTTCTGGGCTGGGCACCTCTTCTTCCCAGTTTAGCCTGGCGTCAAGTACTGACGAACTGGTCAGTTTGTCTACGTTTTGTCTCAAAAATAATGTACAAGTACACGGACTGGTTAGATGCTTAGATGGGTTTTAGGACCTTGATGTGTGTTTTGTTCCAGATTCATTTGTTCAGTCATTTGGTATCTGAGGTTCTGAAAGCGGACGGGATACGTAGACTTGGCTGCATTTACAATTTACTCTACACGCAGCGCAGCGAAGCGAGCTAAGTCTATGTTCTCAAAATGGTGTTCAGACGACTTTTTTGTTTGTGACGGGAACACAACTGGCATTAAAATATGGTAACAAGAAGCTACTAGTAGCTCCTGGCATTACTAGTAGGAGCAAGAAGCTACTACTGTAGTAACAATGTTGCGACGTAAGCTCGCACATGCCAAAGCACACCTGATATGAATGTGTCTGACTGTCCGACCTCAAGTCACTGTGCGAAACCACAAGACCTAACCAGGATGGATTGTTTTTCTGTGTATACCTCCACTAGCTTTGTGGATTTGGGAGTTGATGTCCGTGTGATAGCAGAACTGGTAGAAGTTGCCGTCGCAGTCGTTTGCGTCGCCGTAGTGGTAGCAGTAGTGGCAGTGGACGGTGGTAGGAGTCGGTAGGAGTAGTTTAAGTAGCGAGCAGGAAGAAGAAATGCAGTATTATATAGCAGGTGGCGGGCAGCAGATAGAAGGTGGTGGTAGTCGTCGTAGCAGCAGTAAAGTAACATTATGTAATATAGTAATAAATGGTGTCAGTTATATATACGAATAGTAGTAATTACTAGGAATAGTAGTAGCAATAGCAATAGCAGCAGCAAAGAGCGTGAACGCGACTCGTTGGAAGATGTTCGTGTCCCAGGCAAGGCGGATCTGGAGCTTTGCAAGAATCACCGGATTTCTCAGCCGTCCGTCTTGGAGGATCACTAGGCTGGGCGGATTTCAGGTCATGTGAGTGAGGAGCGAGACGAGAAGTGAAGCATGTTGTTTCAGCCCAAGGAAAGCACCAGGGAGAATCCAGAGCCTTTGATCATTGGTCCTTTGCCACCAGCTGTCAATTTTCTTTGGAATCTCTTAGGATGTTGAACAACAGCACCTCAAAGCGGCTGAGAAGAACGACCAGTTAGGTATCCCTTTGGCCCCCCGAACGACCAGTTTGACGGTGCAGCCTTTGTCTTGTTCGGGTCATCCGACAGGCCGGGCAAATCGACCGAATGACTCCTCCGAGAGATCGGAGAGCGCTGGCCGACTGGGTGTGTCAAGAAGGCAGACCCAGCGGGTTCATCACTAGGAACAAATCATTTCGGATTTTTTTCGGCCCACGACACCATGGCAGATCGGATGTTTGGATCTGTTGAAGCTGTGCATCTCTCAAAAGGATTGATCTCAAATGATCTCAAAATATCTAAAAGCTGCACCCACCAAGAATCCTGAAACCCAAGATATTGCTACTTTGGGGCGTCCATCTCAGCTACTGCTTGAACAATTGGCTTCATGATTTCATGACATCCGAGACGCTGTGAGCCGCTGATCACCGTTCCGAGCAGCATGGAAAGATTGGGTTGGATGATGGATGAATAGAGGTGGTGTTTGTTCGTTCCAAACAGACATAATGTTCAGCAACAACAGATGATCTGAGACAAGCCTCCAGTCATTGCGAACTAACTAACAAAATAGTGTTTGTCTCAGAGTTCTATGATCTAAGGCTATTTGATTAACTGCAGTGCTTTCGACCGGAGCAACCGCAGTAGCTTGGCCAGAGCCCACGTTGCTTGCCTGAGAGCAAGAACTGGCAATAACATGTCTTTTTACTGACCGTTGTTGTTTTGATGTTTAATGAATTTGTTTACGAGAAACTATAAATCATATACTTTCTGTGCTGGTTTGCTAGTCTTGTTCTTCACAGGAAACACTGGTTTGGATGTTGCAACAGGTTTGCTTGACCTGCACCCAATCAGCCATGCCTCACCAGTAATACTCTGGATGATCATTGGTCCACTTGGACGACCGCCTAGGTTGGACAAAAGAGCACCGAGTCAAGCAGCAAGGGATGACCACCTCAAAGTCAAGTGGAAAAGCGGTTGATCGCTTTCAGTGGAGGTATCACCATCAACTAATACAGGATGTGTGCAAATGTGGGCAAAGTCCAAGCTCAGCAGGATTCCCGAAGAAAAGTGTGTCAAAGAGTTACTCCAATGATCTAGGTTGCGACTTACACTCCCAGCATGAGACACTGAAGATCAGCAAAGGCTTCAAATGCGCCGAGGATGATTTCATCGATGTCCCCCCCAACATACGCAGCGAGACACCCAGAAATAGGTCCACGCAGAAGTGAGCCTTTGGTATCTTTCTCGATGAGCATCGTCCGAAAGAAGTCCACCTCATGTTGTGAATAGCGAGTCGGCTACATTATGTTCACATCTTTTTGCATGCATTCCAACACTGAGGCCATTGGACACACACCCCACGCAGCAACATCTCATCCGGTGTTCCTTGAATATTGGTGTTTCTATTTGTTGTTTTTCCACCAGACATGTTTGGCAAAAACTGTATGGTTCTTGTGCATCTCTTCATTTGTGATGACTTGTGATGTACAAAATGATGTACAAAAGTATTACTGTGGCTGCAGGCTGCAGTTGTTGGAGTGCAATCACCTAAAAGATGTGTTTGTCAAGTCACAAGCATAATCTCTCTATATATATATATTGTTCTATTGTTATTGTTTATTTCGCAGGATTGGATCGACCCAATCTTCAAAGCCGACAGATCGCTTCAGGATGGCATTATATAGGCGTTAGCTGAATAACTATGGGGCTGCAGCCCCCCCCACAGTGTTGACCCCACAGGAGACCGTGCTGAGTATCCTTCGACGCTTCATACGCAGTGATCACTCTCCGACAAGGCGAGCTCCAACGCCCCACGGGCTGAGGCTGTCGTTGAAACCATGTCGTTGACAACAGGTCTATGGCTGTCTTGGGACATGGGGGGGCAATCAAATGCGTATAACTACTGGTTCTGTAAAGTTACCTTCTGATAATTTGGGTCACATCCCAGGAAAACTGATAATGAGGTAAATATATACAGCTCAGTAGGTAATGAATTTGTTTCATTTGGTTGATCCTGCGTGTCACGGTGGGCGAGCTCACCCTGCGGCATGTTCACCCAATCCCAGCATGATAGCTTTATCCCATATCATGTTAGGGTACTGTATGTGTTGCTTTCGGCTCTAGTCAAGAGAGCACCCATCCTCATATCAATAAGTTGAGTTTTCCTGAATTTGACATGGCCCTACCGCAGGGGTCTCGATCACATCAGAGCCCTACCTGTGATGTTCTGTTTTGACCAATCAGCCTGTCTGGCCGTGCAGACAGGCTGCACTCGCCGCAATGGTCGTTTCCCAACCCATTTGGTTTAGACTTGTGTCGCTCATGATACCCTCCTTCAGCTCCAAAGATGAGGGAGGGTTCCCCAACGGTTCCCTACAACTCTCAAACCAATCTGATGATATTTATATATACTGTATTTGGTCAAAAAGATCATGCCTATCTGTGTCCTTTGGTCCCTTCCACCTCAGCATCCGCCAAGACGGTGGCTCAGACATTCACAATGGGTACAGGGACGGAGTCGTTCTGCACTGTCCCGAACCCCACGAACCTGCATGCTGAGAAGGTCTCAACTTGCGAAGTTTCTACGGCTTGTGCACCGCAACGAGGCGGGTGGTTGGGGGCGATGGGGGACGAAGCATCCCGCAAGCTTGAAGTTCCGCCTTCAGAAAGAAGCCACCTAAGAGTCCAAGGTCTGAACTAACGAACTGTTTTGACTGAGCAATCACAGTGAATCACTGTTTTTTTGGGGAATGGGTAACGGAGACAAGCTGTGCAGCCGAAGGTCAACCCCAGGGGAGTTTGCCCAATGACCTTATCACGGCCACCCCGTGCATCATGTCATGAAGTGACTATCAATGCACCAGTTTCCTTGAAGGAGATTCCGCCTGATGAGAGATGACGGTTCAAGCACTTCGCAATGACAAGGATTGGAGAATGCATTAGGTGAGGGGGTGCCACCATAAGCATCCCCATAAACTTATTGCTAGAGATCAGACTTGCAACATGACCTGATATGACCTGTTTTCAGCTTCAACAAGCAGGCACTCTGCCAGTATAGCAAGACCAGTGTCTTCAATCGACAGGCCTTCGATGAGTCAGTCTCATGTTGTTTGGCTGAGGAGAATACCGCACCAGATTGATTTTGCATGGCATTACATTACACAGTAAATTCAATGAGTTGTTTGCTTCCATTGTTGTATTATAATCTAGGCTATAACTGCACTGCCCAATGCAAGTGAGCTTCAACATCCATCAGCAACCCTCCAGCAGAAAGCCATACAGCGACATGAAACAAATCATTGAGTTGGTGCCAGACACGGATTGACCGCCATATGGTAACAACCGGAAGCAACACTTGCGGACTGGCCCCCCTTTTCAGATGCCGTTTCTTTTTGTTTTATATTATAAAGCTACTTGTTACTAGTAGTAAGGCACTTGTTACTAGTAGCGATGCACTTGTTACTACTAGCTTATCAAACTAATGGGAAACTGTTGGTGAACCCTTTTGCCGAGGGCTCTTCGAGCTGCAGCACGTCCATGGGACGGGTCGAGACCCAGGTGGAAGACTATTCTACTTATCCAAGAAATCAGTCAACATCACTCCTTTGTCGTTTCCGGCCGTGCACCACTCATCCGGATGCACCGTGCACGTCCGGAGCTCGTCCGCAGCACTCATCCGGTTGGTTGGTGTCGATTTGCTGACTCTTTTGGTTGCTTACTAGTTGTGGCCAGCAGTTTTGACTGGTGCCTTTCAGGCGGATTTTTATGCAACACTAGCATTGACCGAACTCGGTCCTTGAGAAAGGCATTTGCAGGCTGTCGGTATGGATAATCCAAATGCTGCAGATAGCCCCCTTCAGCAATTTGATCCATCATAGTTTCTTGAATGCATGCCAGGAAGCAGCATTGGATTAACCATAACAATATGGGAGACACAATAACCTGATAGATCTGAAAGACAAGGACTGAGAAGTTGATTTTCTCTTTAGATGCAGCAGTTAGTTTGATCGACTTGTTAGAGCACTATCTTGATCAGATGGACTCAAAGTTAACGTTTCTTGTCAGCGCTGGACCTCTCAAGGACTCAAGGAAAGGTCTTATCAAAAGTTGCATGTGTCAGTGTCAATGCGTCATCTGCAAGAGTTGCTGCCATATGAAGGAAGCACTTGCGGGGCAAAGACAAAAGAGGCCCAGGATACAAATCGGCAATTGATACAGTACCAAGCCTTTTTTTATTGCCCAGCATTCAGATGCTTTGCCATCCAGAAAAATGTATAATCCAATGTGATTGAAGAAACCATTGGATTTAAGGAGCCGGTAGAATCTGCTCTCAAAAGTTTAGCATCCTTTGGCCCTTGGCCGTTTCGCCATGGAGGGCACCATTCCGGCAGCTCTTTCAGCGAGGAGATCCGGATGACATGAGAAGTCCTTCACTGCTCAACAATTTGCTCACTCAGAAAGTAAGGAATGCCCAAGACCGCAGCACTGTGGTCAGGGTCCTGTGCGTCTCAAAGGTAACACCGCTCTCACCAAAACTGGCTTGGTGGTGGATGTGTTTCACCTGAGATTAGGCGTTGATGACCTTTGTGGTTTCTTATAGACTCCTATCCCCCTTGCCATCCTCCCTGAATCTGGCCAACTCGCGCTGGCGCCCTTCACCAGGAGCTCCAGGCAGTGGTGTGGTGCAGTCGGGACCTGGGCACCTGTGATGTGAAACAGCGATGAAAGGAATTGAGTGGATCACCAGTGTCCACTTAATGAGTCAGACATGCCCCCTAGTGCAAGCGTGCAGAGTGGGAGCATGCTAGTTGCGGACACTTGAAATGTAATCGAACAAACAAACAATTAATTAAGCATACTAAGCTAAGCAACTAATCTACTTGGTGTTGGAGTTGTTCACCAACAGTTTGAGGGGCGTGTTGATCCCGGCAGCTCAGTTCGCACTACTTGCAGTGCTTCTAGCTCCTCCGTTCGGTGGCTCAGTCGGGGAGAGCCCTCACGACCCAGGGACCGAAAAGTCACCAGAGACGAGGTCAAGAAGGCTTCCAAAAACGATGGGCTAGTACACACATAGTTGAGGCCAATATCCCGGACTATTAATGCCCCAGGTTGGATGTTGGGACGCGGCAGCTTCTTGAAGTGATTGGTGTGATGTTTGTGCTTTTTAGTTGTGCTTCTGTTTTATAGATCATCACAGATAATGTAATCGTTCGCTTGGTGGTTTGATTCTTCACTTCATGGTTTGCCTTTGCCTGGAATGAGT